TCGACAAGAATGTTCCAGTAAAGCTAATCAACAGCTGACCAATAGGAATCTGCCTCCTAAAACACTTTTACTCGAAATGGGAGTAGGCTCAACAACGAAAGAAAAGAGAACTGTAATAGGAAGTCAGTCTGGGTCCCACTCAATCTGGGCATTTTAGAGAAAAGTGAACAAAGTTAATGTAAGCTGGCCTAGAAAATAATTGTATATAAAAAAAGAGCAATTAGGCTTCGATGAATCTAAGCTCGATTCCATCAGAAGACGACGGCGGATTCCTCTTGACCAGCTGTCGATTGGTTTTACTGGAACATTCATGCTGATGCTGTTTCCGAGGCAATCTCCTTCGATTTCGGTGAAAAGGTGCCAAGCTTTCGTCCGTCATCAGAGTAGAGTATCATCCTTACTACCAAATTTAAACTAACTAATCAAGAAAACTCACCGGCAAATCGCTAAAAAAGCGGTATTTATATACTCTATATCTATATCAGTTTACACCTCATAAAAGAGGCCAAATATAGAGAATATATGCAGCTTTCTAGGAATGTGCTGATGAGTTTTCCTCACTTGTTAGCTTGAATAGGGTAATAGAGATGATAACCTGCTCTGATGATGTCCGTCATAGGACGGAAGAAGGCTTAGCACATTTTTACCGGAATCGAAGGAGTTTGCTTTGGAAACAGGGTCAGCATGAATGTTCCGGTTAAGCCAATCAACAGCTGATCAAGAAGAATCCGCCGTCGTATTCTGGTGGAACCGACCTTTGAATCTCTTTACCCAACACTTTCACTAGAAATGGAAGTAAGCTCAGCAATTATAAAACAAGAGATTCTTCGAAACTCAACTTTACTTCACATATATTTACTGTCTAAAATGTGTATAAATGGTCAATAACCCTACTTAAATGACAGCAGTAGTATGAGCAGAAGAATAAAAGTGAAATTATCCCTTATGTCAAAATAAATGAATGGATGGAGCAGTTTCATTTTTCTCCATTTTATTTTTATGCGAAGTAGCCAATTGCCTATTATTATCACTGGCAGTTATGCAATCAGCTGTTCACATTTTGTGGATAGTGCCTTCGCCCAGGTCGAGCGTGTGTCATTGAAAATGGCTGCGTTTACAGACGATCGTAGCTGGCGACCATCACGACGTCACCGTCATGATGGACACTGCTCCTCGCCACAATCCACAGAGTGTGGACCGCTGATCGCGTGACGATATGCACAATAGCTGTATCAAGCTGACGTTGTGTCTCAGGAAGCCCACTTTTTCGGTACCATTATCAGAGAACACGTACCAGCCTCGAATGACCAAGTTCGACTGGCGTCGTTTCATTGAAGACGGCGTGACAGACAAATTCCAAAAGAGCTCGCTTTTCTGACGGAATCAAAGGAAAAATGGTCGCTTCTTAAAGTCGTATTCACGACCACTTGCGGGCGAAATCGGTCAATTCGGTATTCTTCCCGAAACGTATTCTCTTCCTGCCGATGGCATTTATGATCTTGTTCCGTCAATGTATCTGCCCTCCTTTGCAATGCGGGAATAGTGAACTATCGGTAGACCTTCTGAAGCTCATGAGACTCCGGGCGGCTGGAGATCTTGGGCAAGATTTGCAAGTAGTTTTGGAGCCTACTCCAAATAGAATATAAAGAGGCAGCCGTTGCGTACTTTGACCTTCTCAGCTCACATTTGTCAAATCAGTTTTGCAATCACCCGTCGAGTGTTTCAGCATTGCAGAGCACACAAACTCCTTTGGCAACATCACTTTCCTCTTTGCTTGGGTCACCAAACATGTCGTCGATGCGGGGAAAATGTCGTATCGGTCGGCTGTACTTGGGGCTATTGTCAGTTGATAGAAGAATACAATTTTCTTTAATAATTGAAGATCACTTATTTAAATGTGGTCTTTATAATACAATAATTTAATTAATAATACCTTAATTACACGCCAGAACCGCCCAATTTAATTCAAGTGGGATGAGGTCACACTCGATTTGCCACAATAGGGCACACATTTTGATGATTGGAATGTGAACAAGTGAAAAGTTGTGATAGGGCGGCAGTGGGATAAAAGGGTAAAGAGTAGATAGATAGACAATGACAGAAAGAGGAGTGATAGTGTAACCGTTTTCGGCAGAACGTTTGTAAGGATTGGCTTCACTTGTCTTTTTGACGAGTTTGTAGCTTTATGCGGAGAATGGCAAAACTGACTGATGATGCCGACTAAGATGCCGGTGAAACGTTTGCAAATGTACCAAGTCCAATGTCTGATGCTGGGACTCATGACAACTACTATGGCAGACGACTTCGGACTAGGTCCGTTCTACTAAGTCGCCCTGACAACAAGACCAAGTTGTGACAACGAGGTCAACCCACTTCTAAAGCCACTTTTGTTCAGTCCGAATAGGCTTCGAAACGAGCACCAGGTCGAGCCGCATAAAGCCATGAAGGACTGATTGTTGAGTCTTTCACAACCATATGATTAGGCTCCCAAAGCAATTGGATTTCTCTGAGCCCTACCTACCAAAAGGAATTCGCACCCATCGGCAACCGTGGCAACGGGACGAAGTGGTAGCATGCCGCAAATAAACACTGACTCTTTCACAGCTAAGATTCTATTCCAGTTGCGAGGGCCGACGAAACCCGATAAGAGAGGTTGAGACTGCAGTCCCGTCCAGCCGGGACCTAAAGACCTCGCCTTTGGGGATGGAAGGATAAGTGATGCATACTATAAAATATATAACCGTTGGTCATACTTCATTACTGTACCGAGTTTAATGGTAAAGCATTCGGTTGCTTCCTGCTATCTATTTCCTTACCCAAAGCCGGCATTGACAGGAGGTTGTTTGGTTCCGAATTTCCTGAGCACTGGGGCTGGATCGGCATTGCTTCGGGTGCCACGGTTGGGTCGTGAATGCGCCCAATTGCACTTGAAAACATTTGGCTCCTTTTAAACTAATTGTTGAGCTTACATCTAGTTCGAGTGAAAGTGTTTGGTGAATATATTCGAAGTTCGGTTCCATCAGAAGACGATGGCGCATTCCTCTTCACCAGCTGTCGATTGGCTTTACTGAAAGATTCACGCTGACGCTGTTTCCGAGGCAATCTCCTTTGATTCCGGTGAAAAGGTGCTAAGCTTTTGTGCGTCATATGACGAACATCATCAGAGCAAGGTATCATCGA